GGACGGGAGGAGAAAGGCAGAGCTTGGCTTTCACAGGCTCATTTGTGGCTGCTCAGAGATAAAGCGCTCTCCTTGCCGAGTCAGCTTTCAGGAATTCTCGGTTTGTCTGTGTTGTGTTACCAGAGTAGCTTGTTATCTTTGCAGCTTAAGGGCTGACTTGGAAATTCAGACTGTCAACTATTTAAAGAAAATGGAAGTCCCCACTCCACTATTTTAATTAACTTTCAGAGAGCGAGTTTGCCTACCGGTTATGACACTGTTAACTTAAAATATCCCCAAGGAAGCGCGGCAGGGAGCAGGGCGTCATGTTTAAAGGCCGGCTGGGAAGAGGAGCTGAGCGAAGCCAGGAAGGCAAAGCAGGCAGGGCCCGCGGAGGGAAGAGATGAGGCACAGACAGATCTCAGCAGTTATGGAAATGAAATGGATAGTGCAGGTTACGGAGAGCCTTAGCTGCCCGTTAGGGTGTTGGAGGGTGGTCTGTGACGGCAAATATCAAGTTTCCATCTTGGATGGTGCGGCATTAGAGCTGACCTGGGACTCACCGGCCATGTGACAGTCTCCTAGGCCTGCAATTGTCATCTATTCATTTGTTAAATGGCAACATAACATTATAATGGGGATTGAATGCAATCAGGGTTGGATGTTTTAAATAATGTCATAAAAAGCACTCAATATACACACACGTGCTTTTATGGTTAGGTTGGGAGGAGGAGAATGTCTGAGCAGTCTGGGGGTTGATAAAAAGGACAAGAGAAGGGAGCTGACAGATGGAGAAAAGGATAGACAGATGGACGGGCAATCCTTAGAGATGACCCAGAGAGAAGGGTGGTGTTGCTCGAGGGCAGACAGTGGAGGAAGAGGCGGTCAGGGAGCTGGACGCAGTTGAGTGCAACTGGAAACACTAAGCTTGAGAGAGAGAGGGAGACAGTCGCAAGAAGTGGGGGCCAGAGCAGCCTCACGTGCTCTGACTGAAAAAGCCATATTGTCCTGCTCTAGGAAAGTATTTGAGACCTTCTGGTCTATGTTTAAAGCTCAACGCCAACTCAATGAAGTTCTAAAAGCCAAAAGCTGCAGCCATCGTGTGAGCAGGACTAAGGCGGAATTTAGAACTGCCCGAGGCCTCCTTGCTGCATGGGGATGGACTGCGAGGGAGGCCCTGTGCAGGGAGGCCCTGTGCAGTCGGCATCCTCCCAGCCGAGGCCTGGCTGGCTCGGTCCCGGCGTTCCGAGGGCACTGGGATGAGCTATGGATTTTGTAGGACTTTAATTGAGTGGTATCGAGGATGAATACATTTCATTTCAGCACCTTGCCTCCTTTAAGGAATTACCCTTTGCTTGCTCCTATCTGAGAAACATCACTTAAGAAAATGATCGCAGATAAGCACAGTCCCAACTACACAAAGTTGCTCACCACAGCATTATTAATGTTAGCAAAAACACGAAAAACAGTTCATATTGGAAACAACAGGGAAGTGGCAAAGTGTGTCCATCAAACTGATGGACCGTGGCACTTGCAGGAACTGTTCTAAGCACTTTGTAAATTTTGATTCATTTAATCTTCATAGTAATCTCATGGGGAGTGTACTGTTAATATGTCCCATTTTACAGATGAGGAAACTGAGCCTTGGAGAGTTTAAATAACTTGCTCAAGATTACACAGGTAAAAAAATAAAAGATTTAAAAA